AGCCCCCCCCCCCCCACACGAACCCCGGGCCGCACCCCTTGGAAAAACACCTCCGATTTTGGTATGGTCTGCTCGCACGCCAAGCCGCGTGTCCACCACCCAGTCTCGTCCCTGCCACGCGTCTTGCCTTGGATGGCCCGAAGTCTCAGCTCCCAGGCAAAAACAAAGGACAAGAAGAAGGCCCCCATAGCGTCGAATTCATAGCACGCGTATTGTTTGCCTTGTTGGGTGACGTTGGAAGGAAAACTAGACCACGGTTGGCCCGAAAGCAGAACATCGCAAGCGAGGTCGGCCCAACGCTGCGGGATGCGTTCTTTTTCCCTACACTTCGTGAAGCAAGCGCGAGACAGCACCAGGCAAGGTGCTCTGCGCAAACTGGTCGGTGCAAGTTGGTCTGCGCAAGTTGCTCTACGCAAGTTGCACTGTGCAAGTTGAGGAAAAAATAGCCCCCCCCCCCCCCATACCAACCCCGTTGGAAAAACACCTCCGATTTTGGTATGGTCTGCTCGCACGCCAAGCCGCGTGTCCACCATCCAGTCTCGTCCTTGCCACGCGTCTTGCCTTGGATGGCCCGAAGTCTCAGCTGCCCTTCTCCTAGTCTGCAATCAGCATTTAGCAAACGGAAGCCAATCACTACTGGGGCCCCTCACTCATTTGGAGACGAACCCGCCTCAAGATCAAACAACAGGTGGCTGAAAAGCACACGCGCTTCAAGTGCGAATGCGCAGCGTGTTTACCTGGATGATGTTCACGGAAAAAATGGACCCCGCGCATGCCGAGCCGCTCGGCGCACGTCCAGTCTCGCCCCTGCCATTCGTCTTGCCTTGGGTGGCCCAAATTCTTAGCTCCCATTCGAAAACAAAGACCCCCAGTCTGCAATCAGCACTTAGCAAACGGAAGCCAATCACTACTGGGGCCCCTCACTCATTTGGAGACAAACCTGTCTCAAGATGAAACAACAGGTGCCTGAAAAGCACACACGCTTCAAGCGTCGAATGCGCAGCATGTTTACCTTCTTGACCCCCCCCCCACGCCGGGGTTTGGGTGGGCGCGCGTGCCGAGCCGCGCGGCCCACGTCCAGTCTCGTCCCTGCCGCGCGTCTTGCCTTGGATGCCCCAGTCAGCAATCCAGCACTTAGCAAACAAGCCAATCACTACTGGGCCCCCTCACTCAATTGGAGACAAACCCGTCTCAAGATGAAACAACAGGTGCCTGAAAAGCACACACGCTTCAAGCGTCGAATGCGCAGCATGTTTACCTTCTTGACCCCCCCCCCACGCCGGGTTTTGGATGGGCGCGCGTGCCGAGCCGCTCGGCCCACGTCCAGTCTCGTCCCTGCCGCGCGTCTTGCCTTGGATGGCCCCAGTCTGCAATCAGCACTTAGCAAACGGAAGCCAATCACTACTGGGGCCCCTCACTCAATTGGAGACAAACCCGTCTCAAGATGAAACAACAGGTGCCTGAAAAGCACACACGCTTCAAGCGTCGAATGCGCAGCATGTTTACCTTCTTGACCCCCCCCCCCCCCCCCCCCCCACCCCACGTCGGTTTTTGGGATCGGCGCGTGATTTTCTTTCGCTCGGCCCACGTCCCATCTCGTCCATGCCCGCGTCATGCCTGGATGGCCCCATCTGCAATCAGCATTAGCAAACGGAAGCCAATCACTACTGGGGCCCCTCACGCATTTGGAGACAAACCCGTCTCAAGATGAAACAACAGGTGCCTGAAAAGCACACACGCTTCAAGCGTCGAATGCGCAGCATGTTTACCTTCTTGACCCCCCCCCCACGCCGGGTTTTGGATGGGCGCGCGTGCCGAGCCGCTCGGCCCACGTCCAGTCTCGTCCCTGCCGCGCGTCTTGCTTCCAGTCTCGTCCCTGCCACGCGTCTTGCCTTGGGTGGCCCGAATTCTCAGACAGAGCAAGCCAACAACATGTGCGACCCAGGTTGCCAAGATATTACCATTAAGAATAGCAGTCCCAAATAGACATCCATATATTCAGGGAGACCGTGGAATGAGACAGACTTTCCAGCCGCGAAAAATATGGTCAAGATTTGTGGGAGTGTTGCAGGGCGGGGGGCCTACCAAGGCGGAATCGAACCCGTCGAGGGGGGAGTCAGGGGAGGTGGGGGGGTCAGTTGCTCCTGCTCTGTGCAATGTGGCACAAACCCGCCTCCTCTTGGTAAAAGCTCAAAGCGTGGATACCCCGTTGTATATTACTGCGCGTGCGAGAACATCTTGCTTTTTGCAGTCAAAGCGTCACCACAGCCGGGTCCGCCGTAGCCGCGCCTGAAGCTTCGTCGAAAGTCGCTGGTCACGGAAGCAGCACTCGAATGGAAAGACCCCCGCGCACGCAAATGCGCCTTAAGTGATACCAGTAGAGCCGGCGAAGCCGGTGGGCGGAAGTTCTAAAGCGAGAAGAGTGCCTATAGGAAGAGCTTGGCATGCGTTTGTTTGAAGAGCTGCTGGGCACAGCGCACTGGCGCAGGCTTGTCTCTTT